ATATTTTTATAATAACCATTTTTTTATTATTTTTATATAAGTAGCTGATTGCACAGTGGCTCATATTTAGTTATCGGCTACTCGCTTATGGGATCACCTCCGCAGAATACGTCTGGTATCCCCTGTTGCGTAAAGGCTAGTACCTTTTCAATTAACTAGTTTCTAAGTTGAGAGACTTTTTAAAGTGGAGGACTAGTCAGAAAACCATATCTCACATCTAAGTTACCTTAGCGTTTTTGTGTTAGTTTAGTTATTCTTGTTTGTTAGGTATTTTGCCACGCCACAAAGTGAACGCCCAACTTAAGGAACTCATTTACTAAAATGTCCTGGCAGTATTTAAATGTGTTAATTATTGAAAACAAGAAGCTAAAAAGGTAATTCTGCTAGCAAATGAGCTTCCTTGTTAAGTTTTTTTTAATCTGCTATTTCCAACTCCTAAAGCGCAGTTGCCACAGGTTAGCTATGACATTTATAATGTAACAAAGAAAGAGAAAAGAAAATATCGATTTAGCTTGCGTCAACACCAAAGGATTGAAGCTTCTAGCTGACGTATGTTTTTGTTGATACAAATAATTTCATGTAGACAATCGGTTTTTACGCCGAAAAATCACGCCCTACCATTTTTTGATTATTGGCTGGTCATTTGCAATAATTTCTCGCCAACACATAACCCACTTAGAGCTCATTTATATAACCCTTTTTACTGAGTTAGTCTAAATAATAATTACTAAGATGTTCTTTACTCTTTTTGAATAGGTTGTAAGGGCTATCACATAGATTAAAAAATATTTGGGTAAAATTTACTTTTTCAGAACAATAGTATCGCTTGCGAATACCTAACTAAATTTAGCAATTTTTGATTGTGTTTTCGTAGGGTTAATTTATTTATTTGTCATAGCCTCGCTTATAAAGGTTTCTAACCAGAAAACCATAATCTAGTAAATTACGTAGTAAAATAGGTTCTGGAAGCTTTAGTTTAACAAGGTATCGACCTGAGTTCGATGTCTCTTAATTAAAATCTTATACTCCCCCACAAAAAAATCAAAAGTTAAATGAAAAATACAAAAAAAACGGAAATCAACCGTTTGAAATTGGCTTTATAGAGGTAACAAACTCAACGACAGTAAGTTCTATCTTGCAATTTTTTTTATTATATGTGCACACACAACTTTCTAATTTATTGTTTAAACTTTTAACATTTTTCTAGTTTATTATATAAAACAAACAATAGTATTAAATATAGATACAATTTTACACTACAGGAGTGCTGTTAAAAGCAGAGTCCTTTTATTTTTTTTCAGTTTAATTATATTAAACCTGTACAAATATGAAACCGATATAAATTGTTAGTATACTAAGGCTTACTAAAAGTTTTAACAAGTACTTTAACTTTTTATTAGGCAAACGGTATACCTATTCCACGTTGAAATTTAACTAAAGTTATGTCGTTATTAATGCTTATTAATCATCAGCAAAGTATAGAATGGCCACATTCTTTTTAGAAACCTAAGTATTTTAAATAGCAGCCCAATATTACTTTTCCCTTTTCGAAGTGGTCGTAATGGACACTTTGAAATTTTTGGTTAGTATTTTAGAGTACGCTTCGATACATGCTTTAAACAGAAAAGTTCTTTATTTCTTAACTTTAAATAATAAAAGAGAATAATATAACCTTTTGTCAAAATATTAACTATCCCAGCTGTTTTTATTAACAGTTTTAATAGAAAAAATTAATATACAAGTTAGTATATATAGAGACCATTGCCAGTGAGTTATATAAAACCAAAGGTACTTCTAAGTAAATTTAACAGTGCTCATCTTAGAAGACAATGTAAATGGCCTACAGTTTTTCGCTTTAGACAGGGTTAAAAGATTGCATAGACTAATTTCTAGAATGTTTATCTTGAAAAACACTTTTACTTTTAAAATTCAAAGGTTAAGAGTAAACCATTATGAAGTAAATTAAGAGAGTACCATTTGACAGGATAAAAGCTAATCTCTTTGCTATAATATATAGCATTTACCAACTACAAACTCGCGAATACGGAGCTTAAGGCCAAGAAAAGCTAATGGCATAAACTATTTTACCCGCCTACATATTGAGGACTTTACACAACTAGTCGCACAATTAATTAGTAAAGTCTCCAGAAGAAGCAAACCACTGGATTAAAAATAGACACCACTACTTGTTGGTAAGGGAATAAAATGAGAACTTAGTTCCGAGTTGCAGAGTTTGAGGCCTTGCTTATGAGTAACTAAAACTCGATAGCGTAGCTTTTAAAAGTTTATTGAAAGTCTTACTTTACCATAAGTGAAATAACAAGTTTATACTCTGAATTTTTTGGCAAAAAAGATTGTAAATTTTATAGCTCGCCCTTTTAAAACAATTCACTATACTTTTTTAATCGAAAAATTTATTTAAAAAAAATTGGCTAGTTAAGTAATTATATGTTTACTCCAGTTACCAAGGTTTAATTGAGTAATTCCAAGTGTTCCAAAACTTCATATATGCTAAGCTTAGTCATTATAGCATTTTACTCCCTCATACATCATTTAAGAGGTGCTTCATTATTATAGTAAACAGGACTAAAATGCAAAAATTAAAATAAAATTAAACATATTAGTAAATAACACTATTATAACCCGGCGACGGAACAGGAATCGGTGCCTAGCTATAAGTACTATCACAGTATAGGGCTATTTACTAGTATATTATATGTATATCCCCGCGGATCCCTTGTGCGAACTGTTGACTTTTGGCGCGGGACATTGGCGGGCATCCCATTCGGGCTGTGATCGCAGCAGGTTAAACCTTTAATTTTTTTGAGGCGACTGCATTAAGCCTAGATAGTAACAAATAGAATCCTAAAGTTGTAAAGGCACTAGTCAATTGCCCGAACCTGTTCAATAGTTGCATTAATAGAAGTTATCTCGAAAGATTGCAAAGCTAAGTTTATTTTTTTAAAGCTGATTAAATTTATTGTATTTAAATTTATTAAAACAGATTTTAAATGTATTTATTGAATTATTTTTATATTTCATTTTCATTTATTTACATTTTTTTATTCTACAAATAAGCTCGTTAACTCTACAAGATGCAAATAAATCTGCTAGAGGTAGCTTTAAATGTATATACAAATAAAAGCTACGGATCATGAGCGTAAAGTGGATTTAATTTACTTCCTTTTTTTCGTCCTCTAGCAGCACAAGCTAATTAGCATGTCTACTGTTAGTTAGTTTTGTTCTACCGAAGTAGAACTTTTTCATTAGCCTTGAGAGATTAATTTTTTTGGATTGTAACCTAAGGGGTTAGCTATAGTAACATGGTAAAATAACAATACTGTTTTAGACATTAGTCTACAACCTGTTCATTAAAACGCTGCTACAAAACCTCTATAAACTTACTATCATCCCTTCTGAAACGTGTTATGGCGTCGAATATGCCACATATGACTGAGAAAGCTTATTAATTACATAAGGTCCCGTTCATAAAAATGTTACTATCTTGAATTGCAGTTTCAGAACCCAATACTTAATATAGGACGTGCATCGTAAAAATTTACGTTTTCCAAAAGTTGTAAAATTATATCATTAAACCCTGAAATTCTTTATCGCAATGTGTCATGTTAAATTTTGAACTAATATCTATGGATATTTCAGCACAAAAATGCTTTGGATAATAGGTTGAATATTTTTGCGTTGCTTGTGACTAGTTAGAATTTAGCCAAAATATGTGCAGAGGGCTTTAAAGCATTGCTTTCTATGTATAGAGATAACGCTTTCTCTAATTTGGCGTCTTGAGGGTATGAAGAGCAACCATACATAACGCAGTAAAACCACAATGTTAGGTTTTAATATTGTTTACTGCATAGTAAGTAATAATATTCAGCTGTTATTCAAACTTGGACTTTTTTGTTACCTCTTGTCATTAAAAAAAAGTACAAATATTATTAAGCTCTTTGAAATAAATTTATATTTAAATCACTACGCTATTAATTTCTGTGATCATAGATGATTACTTTTTTAAAGACGTAAGTTTTAAGCGGCTAACTAATTTTTACTGTGCAGACCTTCTAACGTCTTGAGGCTGAAAAAAATTTAAATTTAGCGGCGACGCAAAGGAATTTGGCTACATTAGCAAGAGTTACTGGAAGGTTTATATTTTTTTTAAACGTGGGTTGACTAGCTTAGAACTAGGTTAAAAGTGTCAGAATAGGGCTCGATCGTTAACTCTTCCACTATCTTGATAACCGTTTGTACATTTTGGTGAGGCAAAATATTTAAAGAAAGGGAGTAGAGTAGCGTTTTTATTGTTTTCTTCAGTTAGTACGAACAGTAAGCACAGGGTAGCGGCGGTATTAACTTACGTATACTTGGTAATAACACTCTGTAAGAGGGTACAGCAGCTAGCTATTAGCAAGTCACTAGCTACGAAACTTCTTACCCCAGTCTAACCTGCTTCCAATTACACGATAATAGTGTTTAACCAAAGTTTAATATATAAATTTTAGGCTTTTAATAAATATATTGTTAGTTTTGATAACACTGGACTCATGCCCTCACGCTGCCTTTATCATACCCAATACCTAAACTTATATATTTATACCAACGTTTAGATAAAGTTTTTGTCAAACTTACAATTTAGGAGCGCCTTTTCACCAGAAAGCTGTTTTAGAAAATGTTAATAATTACTACTACTCTGTCAGTGAACTTTTACGTATTGCCTTTCTTTTATTTTAGACGGTAATATTCCTGTAACTATCAATTATTAGAACTGTAAGCTTCTGCTTGTTGACTATCCAACCCCTCAACTTCGTCATGTGCACCTCCACTGAGCGTTTTACTGTCTCACTTAAACGAAATTGAAAATTTTGTTTAAGACTACTATTGAATGAGACATTTCGCAGTTTTTATAAACTGTCGGCGCTTTCTGCGAGGCCATCGACTCGGCAGAGAGGAGCTTCGCCGGCTTTTAGTTCACGGCAACGTTAATAACTTCTGTCATAAAGATTATAAAAGCGTAGTTAACTATATCATAGTATGGAAAATTTATTTATTTTGCTCTCTATTTATAACAGCGAGCCTTTGTGGTTACTAAAAGTAATCCAATTAATATTATTACTTTTACTGGCGCTTTTAAATTATTTGGACTTTTCTCACTCTTTACTAAATTAAAGGTTACTTACATATATTTTTTGTTGCTCGTACCGTTTTATTTGGCGAGTGAAGTCTTTTGGTTCCCCCGAAAACACTTCTTGTTCTTTAATCTTATTTAAATCTGATACTGTTGTGGATGACACCCGTTATTTTATAGTTCCAAAAGGTTTTTAATATAGTTATTTTGTAAAAGTCAAACTAAATTATTCAAATAAGTTTCGAACGATGTCCCGCTGGCCATGGATTTACTTCTTTATCAACTTCTTAGATCCTGTTACAAGCCCCAAATCGCGTTTCTTGATGGCCTTGTTTGTATATGGATTTTTTTAGTCTTATTTTTTTAAATTATTCTTTTTTTATTATTATTATTAAATTCTAACAGTTGGATTAGGAGCTTCTATTGCACTTAATTGCCCTATAAGGATTGCTACGAATTCGAGTATCTTTCAAGCGGCCTCCCAAGAGGAGGCTTGTACGAATTACACCATTAATCCTGGCTTGTTCTATAGTTTGTCTAACTTGGACGATAATTTAGGTTTATAATACTTTCAGTTATTAGTAATTCGTTAGTCGCCTGTTTTGTTTGACTTTTTTCTAATATATTGTTTACAAAAGATCCTCTTAACGGGATTACCCTATCTTAAACTTTGTTCATGTTAAATATTTACTTTATAAATAAATATATACTTTTGAGTGACTTGTAATAAGTGTTAATTTTATCTTTATATAATAATAGTTTTAATTTATTATTGAGAAACTTGCGAAAACTAAAAAAAATACACTACCGACTGCTAATTCCGTTTCTAAAATTATTTTTATGTTAATGGAAAAAAAATTAGTTTAAATTTGGAGTCATTTTGGAATTGCATACTAAAAATAAACTTAAGTTTCTTATAGAACAAGTGGTGTTTATTTCTAATATTATTGGTTAATGTGGGGTTTTAAATTAAACTTCTAAGTAAGTAATTTTTTAAAGTGGAGTAAAATATTTTTATGATCTTGTTAATAGTCTTTTTAATTCATGCCAGCAACAATATACTTTATATCTTAGATTATTTCAATTTACCTTTTTTTGGTTGCCTAGAATTTTTTATATAAAGAAAAATAATAGTCATTAACTCTATTTAAATTTATTTCTTTATTATTTATTTAGCTAGAGTTTTATTTGATTTTTGTTTGCTTATAATTTTGTAAGCGTACTGAAAATTTTTAGTATATTTAACAAAATCATTTTGTTATATTTTAAGGGCCTTTTCTAGCGCTTACTGGCTACAAAGTAAAAGGAAAAGATTTGTGGTTTTTAATTTCGAATTTATTTTTCGATCCCCAAACTCTTATTTTCCTACTTTCTCATTGAGGCATGCGGGCCTTTCTACGATATATATGCCTTACGAAAGATTAAGCTCTTTAGAATTACATCTCCACAATCTCGTAAATTACGACAGCAGTTCTCTTCGCCAAGTACTTTGTTATAAGAATAAAATTATTTTTTTAGATATTTTTTTATAATTTATTAATTTTTGTTTAACTTTAGTATAAATTTTTAAAAATTTTATTTTTATTGGAAAATTTGATTACTATTCATAATAAGTTTTGCTACTGTTATTTTCTATTTTCATGTATAGTCAAGGCTCAACGAGTCATTATGGCACTTGAATTGAATATAAAATCGTTTACTATTTTATTTGCTATTATTATAACACTTTTTTATATATTTACTTTTAATTCTGAAACTAGTAATGTTTTTATAAATTAAAATAATTCACAAATGCTTGTAATTTTTACTCAATATTTCATAATTTTTTTCTATTAATGTTTGCTTTGAAGTATTTTGAGTGTTCAAAGAATTAATTTTATGTTTAACTACTATTGTATATATTTAACTATTTTTACAAAAATATAGTAAATTTTTTTCTGTTAATTCTAATTTGGCTTATAATTTTTTCCCTTTTAACCTTTTTATATTAATTTATTTTAGCTTTTATTGAGTGTTTGTAGTGATCCTGGTTTCTTTTCTTTGAAGGCTTATCTCCCTATCATTAATCGGTTTGGACTTAATTATTTAATTCCATATTTTTTAATTTTTAAATTTTTAACGAAAGTTTTTGAAGAGTACATATTAATTTTTACATTAATTTTTAATTTTTTATTGAAATTTTTTAAAATATACAAATTAAAAAATATTTTTAGATTATAATTTAATTTTTTTATTATGAAGCTGTTTTGGAGGTTCCAGTGTCGAAGATATAATTGAATCACTCAAGCAAGACGTACTTTTTTTGACATTTTTTTTTAAATTCAATTTCTTTTTTAAAATTTTAGAATTCTTCGTTTTCACAAACATGTGTGGAACGAATTTTGTCGTATCCCCCTTTATTTATAAAGGCAACTTTTATAGAAATTGAATCTTTCAATTTCTATTTAAGATTATTATATTTTTTTTCTTTGCAGTTAACACATAAATTGCTTCAAACTTGCGCCGGTCACTCTCCAATAGATTGCCTAAGAATTGCACATCTTTTGAATCAGAATAAAAAAAAAATATTAACCAACTTTTCTGTAACTAAATTTAATTTTTTTTTAGTTTTAAATTATTTTTATAATCCAATTCAGCCTCCGACCACTCTCAAGGAAGTGTCACGTGAACTTCTGGAGAGCTTAGTTCCTGCCGACCCTGCTGATTATTCTTCGGTTGACTTTCTCAAGGAGCGCGTCCCGCAGAGTATTCTGCTTGCTTTTTTCTATGACTCGTTTTTTATTTCTTTACTTAACCTCGAGCTTCTTTGAAGCGAGAAGAATGGGAACTTTGGGATGTGGCCCGGCACTATAATGGTTCCTTCCCTAAAAAAAAAAATTATTTTTTTAAATTTTTTTTTATTTTATTTCATAACCATTTTTTATTTTTTCTTTAGTTCTCTCTGTTAAATTTAACTTTTATTATTGCCGTTTACTGCAAGGCAAACTAGATATTCTTCCTGGAAAAACTGCTTTTTTCCAGAATTGGGGCGACTTCGAAGGTTGAGAACTATATAAATTTGAATTTGCTGACTTAATTTCTTTTAAGGAGTTATCACTCGTAAAAATGTAGAAGAAACCCTTAAATCTTTAACGGTATTTCTGCTACTTATTAAATTTTTTAATTAAATTTTATAATTTTTGTTAGCATCAAACTCTTTTTGAATTGGAGAAGCGCTTTTATAAAAAAGTCTGTTTTCCTAAAAACAAAGAAAAGTTGTCTCAATTATTTACTTCTCTTCTTAAAACAGAATAAAACTTTATTACTTTTTTTAATTTTTTTAACATTCAAGGTTCACTTTTATAGAGTTGTCGTACTCTATATCTTGCAACGGAAACTATATAAAATTATTATCACTTTAGCTTATTGGTTGATATTTTTTAAAAAATTCACCTTTAAAATGGTTGGCGCTATAAAGAAATATTTGAAAAGGCATAAGTGCCTGAAGCTTTACACAAAAGCAGAAGAGCAAACATCTATTTCGCCTATACGTAAACTTGCGCTTTCATATAAAAAATAAAAAGTACAATTTTTTGCTGTAACAGGCATTTTAAATATATTATTTAGAACAAAAAAAATAATTTTCAGTGTTGTAGTAATTTTAAAGGTTTTTTCTCTTTTGACGTAAAAAATTAAGGGTTTGTGGTAAAATATATTAAGGACCTTCCAAAAGTTAACTTTAGCGAGGTGTGGTCTTTTGTGATTATATATACCCACACTGACTTAATGGGAAGCCTAACTCAAAAGAAATCCTAAACTATCATTTTTTTTTTTAATATTTTTTTTGTTACATAAAAAATTCCATTAAATTTATCTAATTACTTAATTAGTGAAACGCTTTAGTTACATAGATAGTGTCGTTAAGTTTTAAATTACTATATTAAATCTGTAAAAGAACAATTTCAGTCATGAGACCATCAGCTGCCTACTATATCTCTTTGGCAGACCTAGTCGAAATGTGCTAAATACACCTAATAACATCATGTAGGAAAAACTAAGTTTTTTAGTGATGATAATAACCGTTCATTAGATATTGAGTTTGATACGCTTTTACAAGCATTCCAATAGGAAACTTAGCGAACAACTAAAAGACAAAGAAGCGCTTAATAAGAGTACATAACCTTTTTAATTTATTTGTAGAATTGGCTTACCACAGGCGTACTTTATAACATTGCAGCTTAATCTACTCTTCCGCTATTAATTGAGGGTGCGGCCACAGCTCCCTAACGGTTCATTAGCGCCGTCAACTAGAAAAACGGACGCGCCTTAGCGTCACAGCTAAATAAATCTTTTATTATGTGTATATGTATATATGTATATGGCCCGCTCGTGCAATTATTATACAATTTTTAGATTAAATGCTTTAATTAATTACCATTTTCAGTCTTTTTAAATCTTAAAAATGCATAGCAATTTACTAGTTTTAAGCTTTCAAGATTAACTCCCAAGGAATTCTTTAAACAATTTTAATAACATTGCACACAGACAATTAAGTAGGATTCCAATGGGAACCGCAACTACAGTTTCAGCTAGTTTATATTTGACAAATTATGAAGCTTTAGAATTTGTTAATTTTTGCCATATACAAAGTTTTATATAAAGATGCATAAATGATTCATTACTAATTAAAACTGAAACATAGAACTTTATCGGAACAAAGCTATACCTTTCTTAGATTTAGTCAATTAAAGTTAATTATTTTAAAAAATGGTTAAAAAGAAAGCCTAACTTTAAATATATAATCTTGACTTTTTTATAATGGCACCCATTTGGGAGTGTCTCCTTTTGAAGTTGCCGTTAATCTCTGCTTAAAAATGTCCTACAAAAAAACTACTAATTATTAAACAACTTTTTAGATAGTAAATTGTTTGCAACGTTTTTATAACTTATAGGCTAATTGCATCGTTTTGACTTTTTGGTTAATTATTAAAATTATAAATAGTTATTTCTATTGGAAAAACCTTTATTTTTTAATAGAACTTTTCTTCAATATACACACTAACAGAGGTATCTTGAGAAGAACAAGGTTTGCAACTAATTAGAGTAATTTATAAAAAAATGCTGCTACACGCTTTTTAGTATTCATATTATCAAATTTTACGGTTTTTTAAAATTTATTTAATTACAACGGTCTCGGGGAAGTGGAGGAAGTAACGAATGCAGATATTATCAAACCTTAGTTTTGTGAGGTATGAGAAACCCCAGTCTTGGTTCCTTCGTTCCTTACTAATTGACGCCGTCCCTGATAACGTGGGGTGTCCAAAATATTTATAGCTTTAGCTTTAAAGTAAAAGCCCCTGTTTCCATGATACAGGTAGAAAACTAATTATAAATTGAGAAAATTATTTGCAAAATACCCATAAATAGGGCACTTTCGAAGGATTAAAATTATTATAGTAGGAGGTTTCCCCTTTTTGTTATGGTTATTTGAGCGGGATAAAAATTCACAAAATTGATTATCTCTTGTTTCTCTTTATGGAAGACCATCAAATCTTAAATTTTGTTCTCACGCTTTTTTTTTTGTTAGCTGTTCACTTTAGGTCTTGTTACGCTACTCGCTAGCATCGTGATGTACAAATATATATTTTCTTATGTTTATAAAGCTATGCCCTTAATGACAGATCGCTTAGAAGGAAGACTTAACGTTCTACTTGATTTCTCTAAAATCCTAGAATTTCATTTCTTATTAAGTTGTTGTCGGGTGACAAAAAAAATTACTAGGACCTATATATTTCAGTTAGAAATAGATGTTATAATCAGTGTTTAAGGGCAACTTGCTTAATTCCGCGTACATACTTAGAATAAATTAGAGCACAGTATAGTTAATATTTTACTTTATTATTTTTTGGTTATATTTGAGAAATTAACAGTTTACTTTAGTTTATCATATTAAAACAGTACGATAAACTTCCTCGGTTATTTTCATCAGCACCTTGTCCTTGAAAGCTTGCTTCAGAAAAATTCATTAGATAATAATTCTCTCTACAGGCGTAGTTCTCTTCTCTAGTACGTGTATAATATTTGTTAAGCCAAAGAAATGACCATTGTGCTATATTGTATTTTTTTGTCTTGGGGTCTAACCTAAGTTGCGCGCTCTTATTACTTAGATCCCTTCCCATAGCACTGTAGGGAGTGTTAAATATTTTACTTTTGTTAATAGTGTTTCCCTCGTACTGAGGGAAGTTACTTAAACTGGTTGCTGACTCGCAACAAGACGCAGAGATTCGATGAGGTGTATCATCGTAAAGATAAATTAAAGTGGGTTGCTGGTTGATGCGTATTCGACCAGCAAGACTTTGCGTTGAGTTGGGCAGAGGTGAAAGTAGAGACTGTGCATACCTTTTAGTATTATAGTTTTCGCATTGTCTACTACACTTCTTTGTCTTAAGGAGACCGTTTATTGGAAATTTAGCGAGGTCTGTCGTGTCTTGACCTTCCGAGTTTTTATTACATGAAGAGGATATTTGGAGTCTAAAATCACTTACTTTACAAGCTGCAAACTTATTTTCATATTTTCTAGTACAATAATTGATATGAGAATTCCAATTTAAATTGTTCTTGATTTCGCTTTTAATTCGTATGTCGTGGCCTTCATCGTTAATTTTTTTTCTATTTGCAAAGCAAAATATGGGGGTTCGAATACTGGGTGTTTGGACAAGTCCCTCATTTAGATAAAAGTTTAAATTCCTAGTCATCTTTACTCTCGAAAGTTGTAGTTCGAATGATTTTTCCTTCCATAATTTTGGTACAGCGCCTTTACATAGTGTTGTTTTTTTTCTTCTGGTGCCGTTTATGTGAAGTTCACCCCTAAAGCGAATGTCCTCTTTAGCAAAATGTTTGATACAAACATAACGATTTTTAAATATTCCATATTTTGAATTAATTTTTTTTGTTTTAGCAACCCGAACTCGGTTAATTTTCAAAGTACTCCATTTGTATAGCACAAATTCCCTCCACGCTTTATAGGTCATTGTTTTAACCGGCGGAAATTTAAATACCGAGATGTATGGCTGACTATTGTAACCATAATTACTTTTACAACCAGGTATAACACATTTGTATGGCATTTTAACTGAACAGTTTTTATTTTATCTTTAGCACTCTTATAGTAAGATTACCCACTCGAAAGAAATTAAGTGCAAAGTGATATTACGTTTTCTTTACAACACAATACCCTACAACGTACAATTGGAAGATAAAAAAGTTGGCAAGCAGATAATTTATATAGGGCTGGGGAGTCATTTGTGCTTTATAAGTCTTTTTTAAACCTTAATTTTCAATTGAATTCACACTAGATTGCAGATTAATTATGTTTTGCGTCTTTAAATTTGGCTAACCTATACACGAATAATAAAGGGATGGACAAGGAAACTTCTTATCTTCTATTTAACTTTCGTAAGTTAAAGAAAAAAAGTGTAGAAATTTGTTTAAAAATATATAACAATGAGAAATTTGTATAAAATTCAAACTAAAAAATATGAAAAGTACAAAGTACATTGGGGATAGCAAATACTTTGAGAAGCCAACTTTCTTTCAGAGACTGTTCAATAAACTTTTTCTATTTGTTTAAAAGCATTACATCTTATAACCATAGGAAAGCGAAAAATAAAAATTTTTTTGGTAAGTTAAGAGCATTTTATACCAATTGTCTAAATATAAAATACATCTGCTATAGATCAACGAAATTGGTGTTTATGACTACCAAGTAAAAAGAGAAATGAAGATAAATTTTTAGCTGTAGTAGCGTACTGGCTACAGTCGCTAAATGGAGTTTTTAATAACGAAATGAGTGGCTACTTTCTGTTGACTCGTTAAAAAATTAAAATTTCTTATAAAAAAAATTTTCCGAGATAAAGAAAAGTTAGTATGCTTTAAAAGTACATTGATACCTCGGAAAGTAACTTTTTGCACACTTAAACTATTTTTCTAAGCAGCAAAAAGCTTTTCTCATATCTTATAGTTATGTAACAAAAGTTATAAAATAAACAAGTTAATATTTACATATTCGCTAAGTTAATAATCTTAAAAAGTTAGCTTGGTTGCGTGGTATAAAGTATTACTGTTTACATGTAATATTAACCTAAGAACTTAAGACCTGCTAAAGCAATTATGCAATTAATTATAATTAATTACGTTTTTGAGTATTGCCAACAAATGCAAGTATTAAAAAAATTAGGACAAGTAAATTGGTTGTCTCTTTTTGTTATAGTTTCGAGTAACTTAAAAAAAAACTTACAAGATCATGGCGAGACATG